CGCCTCACCCCGCCCCTTCTCCTCCTGCCCCTCACCCTCGCCTCGCCCCGCCCCTTCTCACCCTCTCCGGGCAGGTGGCAGACCCGGCGGCACATGGCGGTGAAGTTGCTGAAGTAGCGGGTCAGGCTCTCGTCCGTCTTCTTGTCCAGCCGGGCGAACGAGCGGAACCGCCGCCAGTCCAGCCCCCCGCCGCCCGGGGCCACCTCCACGCCGAACGTCGACACCACGCGGTAGAAGTCGCACTCCTCCCTCCGCGTCCACCTCTGCTGCCGCTCGCGCCGGGCGATCTCCTTCAGCTTGTACGCGGCCTCGCAGCGCCGCCGCCGCCGGTCGCCCTTCTCCGCCGCCTCCATCTTGAGCTGCTCGCGGCGGTAGCTGCGCTGGTAGGCCGTGATCAGGCGCCGCAGCCGGGCCGTGAGCGACGAGCCGGTCGGCCAGTAGGACGCCCCCGTCTGGGTCACCTGGCCTGCAGGGAGGGGGAACACAGCGACCGTGACGCGGGGCCGCGGGGCCACAGGCCGCAGAAGCGACTTGATTCTGCGATCGAGAGACGGGCCGGATGAGGCCCCTGACCCAACGGCGACCCCGCGAGCTACAGGGAGCGGGGGGCCGCCTCTCGCACCCGGGGCCTCTCCTGTCCAGCCAGGGCTCCCGCCGCCCTGAACTCTTCTCGGGACCTGAACTGTCTGGGACTTCAGGGCTGCGGGCGGGACCCCCTGGGGCCACACACACACACACGAAAAACACCTCCCCGCCCCCCCCCCCCACCGGTGGCACACGGCCGGGGCTCAGGGTACTGACCTTCCTCCCCGTCCACCACGCAGATCTCCTCGTCCATCATGAGGGAGTCGCTCTGGGGGAGAGGGGAGAGGGGAGAGGTGAAGGCCAGGAGAAAGAGAGAGAGAGCCCCTGCCTCCGTCGAAGACGGCTCTGCGTACGAGACAGGGCAGGCACAGCGCCGCAGCCGAGAGCAGCCCCCGCCAGATGTCCGCACGCACCCCCTCACCCCCCCACTGAACCCCGATACGCCCCCTCACCTCCTCCTCCGGCTCCTTGGTCAGGCCAGGCTTGAACTCGGGGTCCTCACCCTCCTTCTCAAACTCTGCCCTGAAACACACACACGGGCGGACGGCAAGCAAGTGTTATTACACTGTTATTACCTGCAGGGAAGCGTCACTGCCAGCAAGCACACTGTCAAAATGCTACCCTGAAGTGTTATTACACTGTTATAACTGGCAGGAAAGCGTCACTGCCAGCAAGCACACTGTCAAAATGCTACCCTGAAGTGTTATTACACTGTTATA